TAAAATCAGATCTAAGCGACCTCTTCATCTTTCGTGGTTCGACGGCAGGATGAATTTTCCTGAGACTGCAGACGGTTGTCCGTAGTGTCAGATAGAACTGAAACCAGGTGAAAACATAGCTCATCGATCCTCGCGAATCTCGTGGCAATGCTTTTTCTGTGATCCAATACGTTTTATTTCATAAAATTGAAAACAGACGTTCGTTGCTATTTTCTGTTAACTGAAATATAACACCAAAGTACTTTATTCTGTTTCTAAAGCGAGATTATTACAAAAAATAAATGAAAATAGATGAGTTTCACTTAAAACAGCACCATTTTGTGTTAAGAATGAGTCAATCGGTAAAACGTCAGTTCAATCTAAGGGTTTCTCACACAAGATGGTGTTGTTTCAACTGGAACTATCTTTCACCGTTAATACCATTTTGCGTACTAAGTGATCAATAAGAACTATTCGATCTAAATGTACATAAAACGTTCTAACAGTTGTACTCATTAATTATCATAACGATACTTTAGGCTTTGCTTTAGTTTCCTCATGCTAAACTTCTTTATTCTTTCATTCGCGATGTATGTACTATTTTCACTCTACTTCTTTGGCGAAAAGTCTATACAGAAATAACATTCGTTATAGGAAGGTACTAGAATTAGATCCATACTCCATATTTTGGAGACTATTATCACCTTTTAGAAAATAGTTTAAGGTACAAATTATTCTGTTACAGTAAACAGAAAAGTATTGCTCGTCAATTAGAAAAAAGTTAGAACCAAGTACTTTCGACTTCACTCTCGGATGGCTCGACGTCATCTGCATCTTCATCATAAAGACGATAGAGAGCATCTACAAACGTAATAAATTTATCCGTCTCTAATTGTTTTCCATATTTCTCTTGATAACGACTGAAGAGTAGTTCGTATTCTTGTGTATAATAGAGTTTCAAATGTCCGGCATAAAGTAACAATGATGTTCTTGTTTGAAATGCATATAAATCTTTTATATCATTATGAATACGATTGACATCAAACCAATGTGAAATATCGCTTAATGTCCAATGTTTCAATGATCTAGCTTGGTTTCTGTTGTAAGTGATTA